GGCCTCGGCGGAGGCTTCCCCACTCCCCGGGCTGCGGGTCGTCAGCCGCTACGGGCTCTGCCAGGCGTCGTGCAGCGGCCACACCGCTACTTTATTTAAGCGGAAAAAGAGTGTGTTGGGAAGGAGGTTTGTCCTGGTGCTGCAGGACCGGCTGGATCCCGTGCCTCCTGTCCGACCTCTGCCCCCTTCCTGAATAACGTCTTTATTCGTTCTGGGTGAAAATAAACGTCCAGTAAAGAGAAGCACATTTCAGACAAACCTGGTCGGTCTGTGATGAGGCTGAGATTTTGGGTTTCAAAGTTATTAACCAAGTGATTTGCAGAATTAGGCAACTCAGTGGATGGAAGAGTCTGGAACCTTAATTATTAAACTATTGCCATAACTATTAGAGTGCTGCCCTTTCAATTCTGCTGAAAATACGAGTATACTTTTTCCTTATGTACTGTTAAAACAATATTTGTAGGGAATTAATACAATATGGTATGGCCATTTTCTCCAGGCAGCACTTATTTCAGAGCAAGTCTATTTTTTTCTGTGGTATACATCATCACAAAAAGCATGCGGCACCTTTTCTTCTTCTTACTTGAATTCATAATTACAGTAAATCAGTATGAAGAGGGAATCATTCAGATGTATCTATATAAATGCAAAAGTAGGTGAACCGCCGTGGCGTGTAGCAGTGCCACAGCAGCACAGCTTGTCACTGCAGCTGAGACAATGCATGTGCACAAGGCCAGCATTTCTAGCAGGAATTCCCTCCAGCTGCAGTGGTGATAAAGTGGAATGGTAGAAGCTATCACTGTTATTACAAAATATAATTGTGACTTCAGTATATCAGAAGGGTTCTACACATGGGTTGGGGCAATCCCAAGCACATATACAGGCTGGTTGATGAGTGGATTGAGAGCAGCCCTGAGGAGAAGGACTTGGAGATAGTAGTGGATGGAAAACTGAGTATGAACCAGCAATGTGCACTCGCAGCCCAGAAAGCCAACTGTAGCCAAGAGAAGTATGGCCAGCAAGTCAAGGGAGGGGATTCTCTCCCTCTACTCTGCTCTTGTGAGACCCCACCTGCAGCACTGTGTCCAGTTCAGGGGCCCCCAACATAAGAAGGACACAGACCTGCTCAAGCAGGTCCAGAGGAGGCCACGAAGATGATCAGGGAACTGGAGCCCCTCCCTTAGGAGGACAGGCTGAGAGAGTTGGGGTGTTCAGCCTGGAGAAGGGAAGGCTCAGAGGAGACCTTATAGTGGCCTTCTAGTACTTAAAGGGGGCAACAGGGAAGATGGAGAGGGACTCTTTATCAGGGAGTGTAGGGATAGGATGAGGGGAAATGGTTTAAAACTGAAAGAGGGTAGATTTAGGTTAGATATAAGGAAGAAATCTTTACTGTGAGGGTGGTGAGACAATGGAACAGGTTTCCAAGAGAAGTTGTGGCTGCCCCCTCCCTGGCAGTGTTCAAGGCCAGGTTGGACGGATCTTTGAGCAACCTTGTCTAGTGGAAGGGGGTTAGAACTACATGATCTCTAAGGTCACTTTCAACCCAAACCGTTCTATGATTCTATGATATGACTGTACTCACAGACTAATCCTACATGAATAGCTGTTTCTTGAACCACTTGCACTGTATGAGTTTAAGGACATTGGTGGGCTCACCCGTACTGCCGTGCCTGTTTTCATTGTAAGTAAAAGCAGAAACTTGCCTAATGTGAATTGCACCTGCTTGACTGTTGTATGAACATTGCCTGGCATTAGCACAGCAGTAGTTCCTGACATTTATGAGTCTGCAGACAGTTGTCTTTTCATCTATGGATGATTCAGAAATTGGTGCAGTGTATTTTCTTTGATACTCATTCTTCAATGATCCCTTTCAAAGCCCTGTGCTTGCTACGGCAATTGAAAGGCAAAATTGTGACTACTGAAGCATCTCCTTTTATATCATGTGCCGGTTTTCATTTTGCAGTTGATTTCTGCACTTGGATATGATGGCAGATAATGTATGCAAGAAGTGCCGTACAGATAGAGGCTATGATTGCAACTGGAGTCAGCCCACTCAGGGTCAAATGCACCTGTACATGCTGGCTATCAGTGCCCATTTTCATCTTCTCTAAGGGAAGCAAAGTCACTACCACTAGCTACAGAGATCTGGCACAACTGACTTCCTTTGTGTCAGAGGTCAACTCATTCATTTTTTTCCCTTTCCAGTGTCATCTTCCAGATCCCCTGTTTCGACCTTCTCCAAGTTGAGAATTGTTATATATTAACCAGCAGGGAGATTCGCTGAGCTCCAGAGGCAGCTTCAGTAGGCTGCAGTAGCCTCAGAAATATCCATTTTTCTAATTGAGTGTTGGGGACTAATTGTTGCATGCAGTGGCATGAGCAGTGTAGTCCCAAGCGAGGAGTGGACAGGACAAACAACTTTCTGCTATCTCATGATTCTAGGTTGCTTAATGCTTCCCCATGGAAGTCATTAGGTCCTACTTAGAGACTATAAATGAAACAAGTGCTGAAGGTTACATGCTTAATGTCCTGAAAACTTGGTCCCTACAGGCGCACGGCATCCACTGTTCTACAGAGTTATAGCCCCCTTGGTTGTAACAGTGAAAGCTGCAGAGAAGGATTAAGTGGTGGATGACCTTAAAAACTGAGTAACAGAAATAGTGAAGTAATGCAAAGTGCAAAGTAAGGACTAATAACCATATCTGCTGTACTTTTAGGTGAAAACTAAAGGGGAGAATAAAATGAGCTCTGAGAGTTATCGCTGACCCACCAATATGCTATGGCTGCCAGGAGAGCAAATCTAACCCTAAAGTCTATCAAGTAGGATATTTTCAGTTGTTCACATGGAAAGTTTCATTGACTCTTGAGTATAATGTCATTTCCAATACACACTACAGTCCTGGTCACTCCAATACAGGAAAGATTAATTCATATTCAAATTGGCAACCTAGCCAACAGGATAATTAGGGGGAATGATGAGTATTTTCTGTCTCAGGTGATTAAAAAGAGATTGTCTTGTTTAGCTTAGTAAAACAAAGCTTGAGAGGGGAACTTGTTTCCATCTGTAAACAAAACAGGAGTGTAAAAATAGGCAGAGAAAGAAAAAAGAACCACTGTTTATGTGAAAGAACATTACTGATAAAGGAACATTTGGTGTAAAGTGGCCATAAATAAATGTACAATGGAAATGAAAAGGTTTTGACTCAACAGAATAGTCCTTGTGAAAAGCTTCCCAACAGGAATCAGGAGGGATCAAAAACTGAAATAAGTTTTTTGATGGATGTGGTTGGCTCGTGAAAGGAATTTTACGATGCAATTACCTGTAATAGCAGTGGACTGGTTCCTGTGCCCTTGCATTAATTTTCCACTATGGAGGTTTTCCACTTTCTCTCTCAAGCATCTGGGACTAGCCACTGTCAGAGAAAGACCAGCAAGTGAAAAGGACCACAGGTGCAATCCAAAATAGCATTGAATAGTCCTGTTACTTACTTAAAATCTTTTAACACAGTGACTGTATAGAGTTGAGGGTGATTAACAGCTGTTAGGGGTGATGAATACCCCAAGCTGCTCTTAATTCTAAAGGGGAGAAGCTAAAAACCTCCCAGGCTGGAAAAGAATGAGAGTCACCAGTGCATGGATGCTTTCCCACTTTGAAGGGATTTTTTAAAAAGCCTATAATACCATTCAAATAAATATGCAAATGATAAGGTGCATTTGGAGGCATTTCAGTGCTGTTATATCAGGGATGAGTGTGCCCCTGTGGTTTTAAAGCGAAGGCAGCACCCAACATACTGAAGACAGAAAATAAAGCGATGTCATCATTTTCCTTGTCTATGGCAGATACTTTTAAGTGTTCAAAATCTTCTCTCATTCTTTTCAGGTGGATGTGTAGGAGAAGTCCTTTGTTATTTTGTTTTCTTTTTAGTGGAGAAATCAATGATGACTGTGCAATTTCTTCCAGTGTATTTGTTTATGTATGAGAACAGGTGTATTATTTGTAAACGAAGAAACAGTCACTGAGGAATAAAGCTAAAATGATCCTACCCGTAGATGGCAGTAACTGCTAATAGTGCTGGCTGTCAGTGCCGCTCCAATTCAAAGTCTTAGGACACAGACAAGGTTTAAACCAATTGACCTGATCCCCTAAGTTGCTAAACAGCCATTTCAAGGATCTTAAATGGTGTCATGCTCCAAGCTCCTTGCAGACGACCAGCAGAACACGCCTCCCTGGAAGCTGGTTCAATTGCCAGAAATAACCCCACTGTGATTTCTTAAAGGAAGGAGGTATAATATTTATTCAAGGGCTATGGTTGACAGCAATAAGAAATGGCATTTATATTAGGATATTAAATCTTGCTGTGTTTTCATCAGACAGGTTTTACATGTAGAATGAACAGATAAATACCATCTGTGTTTAAAACTATCAAAACTGAGTGCCTTACAATGTAGAACAATTTGGACCAATATCCCTTCCCACCAACCCAAGAATTACCTTGTATACATAATAGTGATGTATTCACTACCTTTGACTAAATAAAGGCAGGAGGAATCATTCTCATGGCATGGAAGGGCAGCAGAACCATCTCCTGATTGCTGTATACAGGAAGACAGAAGTAAGGGAGGAGATTGTTCATGGGAGTTACTTATTTTCTCTTTATCTTTACACATAGGGAATCATATAAGTTGCAAATAATTTGATGTCTCCACAACCCTGGTCTTCTTTCCTAGAGTTCTGCAGTGGGATTGTAAGGCAGGATTTTCCTTGCTGCTTTTTAATTGCTTCTTGGAGATCTGTCTCATACTGATGGAAGATTCAGAACAAAATACAATTTCCAAGCAAGTGAGTAGGGGAGAAGTACGTTGGAGTTTTGGGTTCAACTCTACAGGAAGGAAAGAAGCTAAGGATGGTTGTCCATTGGCTTTTTAACTTT